TGGCAATGGAAGTTTTACTGTGGGGCATCATGCGCGTGGGATGGAAGGTTGAATTCAAGGATTCGTAAAAAATATGTGAACTTCGACCATAAAACTTAGCAGGTGCTGATGCGTAGCAACTGAAAGTTAGCGCGATAGTAAAAAATAACCAAAAATTAAAATTTTAAAAATAATGCAGTTTGAATATGGTACCGATAGTACGTGTGCACCCGGTCAGGCAGCCAGTGGAATGTACGAACAATAAATGATGTTTCCACTTCTTTTATTTCTTTATTGTACGCGTCTGGATTGTTAATGAACAATCGCGAAGTCAAATTAGTCAATATCAGAATGCGGTCCCAACCCGGAGTCATGTGATCATCAACAAATACACTTGTACGCTATTAAATATACCTGACGTAAGTATAGGAAGATGTTTAAAATGTAAACGTATGGAGGCATAAGCTCTGTAGGGGTGACTGGCAGGGCATATATGTGCATATTAAAAAATCCAAAGTAGATAAGCGAAGACGGCAGTTTAAATAGAAAATATTATTTGGAGAAGAGTGTTTTTATGTAATAATTTTCTTTCTAAACTACAGAAAGTCAGTGACAGCAAAAAGGAAAATTACCCCCTTGCGCCCTGATATCAATTCAGCAAAATTGCAGAATATTGTCAGGCCAGGAGGCCGATGCTAACAGTGGTAACCTGCCAATGCAGATAACGAATGCGGCTTCAAGTCAGATATTACAGCCCGGATGGCTGCCTGTTCCGGTACGCAGGATGCAGAAAGCGGAAAGCGTTCAGGAGCAACTAGGCGTTTGAAAGGAACTGTTAACTTATCCAAACAATTAGGAACGATGTCCATTGTGCGGCCAAACAGTATGGACACATGTGAATGAAGTACGTCAGCGGCTATCTTTCGGCCGGAACGCTATGGGACTAAAGAACACGTGAGAAATCTGCCTGTCGCATTTTGCGAAGGCCTACACAGTGCAGCACTTGGCATGTCCGAAGAAATGGTAGGGGGAACGGTTTTTCTCCGGACTTTGAAGGAGTGTCTGTACATAAATTCGGTTCGGGCCAACTGTCTCATAATTCCTTTGACCTGAGTCCCGGTTATGTAAGTGTTGAGTGCAGGAAAGTATCTGCTCTCGCCGCGGCACATGAAGGTTGCAGGGATTTAACCGTCACTTTTCAACTTTCTGAGCCAAGTTCAAGTCAAATAAATGTGGAGTGAGGGGCAGTATTCGCATTAGACTGGATACCGATAGGGAACCAAATTCTTACGATCGTCTCCCAACTCCTTAAGTTGAGGTCATGGAAAGTGATGGTAAATTAAGTCGACTGAAGCGGTGAGATCGCTTCTTAACTCTGACCTCAGCTCGTGCAGGACAATGGTAAACTGAGGGGATAACGCCTGTGACGGGGTGAAAAGGTTAAGTAAGCTAATAAATTTATGAAATTTGCACGCAAATTTGTGCTACAAGGTGGCTCGATGGCCGCAAAAAACAAAAGCAGAATGGCCAAGCCGAACGCAAACTCCATGCCTAAAGCCGTACTCAACAATCTGAGGGCGGTAGGCAGGTTTTCGTATGCAACAGATAATTGGGGCCCTAAAACCTACCGTTACCAAGTAAACTTTAAAGTCGGCCAATAAAATATATAGGATACTTTGCGTTAAGTGCCGGCAAATTTTCCTGTCACAAGTATCAAGCATTTCGGTGCGCTATGGAGGAAACACCTCAGTATATCATTCAAACTTTCAGGTCCTAAAGCTCGACTAAGCTTTTCGGAAAGTGGCTGTCACTGCGTTTTCGGCCACATTTAGCACTAATGTCTCTACGATGACCGCTTAACTTCTTTTACCAATTGTGTGCTCCTGTACTCAACTGGGTGATTGTACACATGCGAAGGCTGCTTATGCCTTGGAGTCGACGAATGTTTTGCCGCAGTTTTTGTGTTTAGACGTGTCTTGGACGAACTCATCAAGTAGATTTCTGCGCATCATAAAGGCTCTAGGTTTGCAAGGGTTCATTGGATGACTGCGGCATATAAGCCCTAGAAGCTGTCGCATCTGAAAATGCCGCATTATTTTTTGCCCATAAATTTAAACCTTAAATCACCACAAACACCTTGGTGATCCTCCAGCGTCTTCTCACAGTTTTCATATCCACATTGAGCGATCAACGTTTTTCAAATGTAAGTTGTTATGTTTTAATTGTTGTTTTCGCTTGGTTTCCTTCGTCCACAATGCGGTTAAAGTCGGAGCTTTTACTTTACGAAAATTCAGCCGACACTTCCTTAGCCTTATCATTTACACCATTCTAGCAGCACAGGTATTCGACAAATTCCCAGACGCCCACGGTTTACCAATATTCTGCTGTTGCTAGACTCATCAGCAGGTCCCTCAGCATTTCCCGTTTGTATTTTGGTAGACATTCGGGTTTAGAAACTGTTGCACTTTACTTTACTCAAGTTGGGGATTAGATTTTGAGTAAATTAAAGTGCAACAGTTTGTAAACCCGAATGTCTACCAAAAGGCAGATGCGGAATTATGGGGGACCGATTGATGAGCCGAACCCCTCGCAGCTGTGCCATGCAACAGCAGAATATCCGCGAAACGTGGGTGTCTGGAAACTTATCAAGTACCTGCGCTGCTAGAATGGTATCTTCTACCGCTTAAAGTATATACTTCATAAATGATAAAGCTTAGGGAGTGACGGCTGAATAGTCTTAACGTAGTAGCCCCGACTGTGACCGCGTTGCAGACGAAGTCAAGAAAACAAAACAAAAACAATAATTGAACTTGGAGTCGGTCAGTATATTTTAAGCTTAAAAGGCGCAGACCGACATTCGATTTATGAATAATTGGGCCTGTGCTGCCTGAATGGAATTTTCTAACGTTAACATATACTACTAGCTACGTGACGGCAGTTAATAAAAATTACGAGGTCATCCCTTTGTGGTTAAAGGAATGTGGCCCAAATATTCTTGCGTCAAATTTTGGTCTGCGCCTGTAGACCCTTATATAAAATAATCTACTCCAAGTCAGCAGTTATCAAAAGCGTCAGAGTTGATGCTGGCCACTTTGGCTAAATCTCGAACCTCGGGAAACATCCACACGCTTTAGCGTTAAGTTTCCGCCAGCGACAAATAAACCTGAAAGAACAATTATGTTGAGGGATGCCAAGGACTTTCCACCATGTATTCGATGCATCACTGATCATAGTGATATCATTCCACCAGGTGTGTATTTGTAGTTATATTAAATATATAACACCGAAAAAAAGTCAAATTCAATCCCTTAAATGCAGAGGGTGCATACTTCCTTGCCAATCTGCATAATCAGATTCGGTAACACACTTATTTACATTTGAACAACGTTTTTCTAACAAACTGTATTAAGTTTGTTGGCGTCATCTACGATCTCTTATTAGCTTAATTACTTGTCCAAAGTATTCTCCCAACTATTCGTCAAGATCGATATTCTGAGCATGATACAGTGGCTAATAATTTTCTTTGGCGTCTTTGAAGAGATTATCCTAATTCAGAGTCCACTAAGTGTTCGCAACCTAAAGTTAAGTAGAACATATGCGTCAGTGCAACTTTATGTTGAAATTGTCATAAAAAGTACCAAACCCTTTAGTTCGGTGAGAGAATTTGGTTTTTTACAAGAACCGCGCATATAACAAAGGTCGGTAGGAAGCCTATAATTAATCGGTGAACAAGTGATTATAACAGGGACACTGAAGTCAAACTTATAAGAAAACAGTGCACGAACATTCGTCTGCCGCAGAGCTAGCAAATGAATCGCTAAAGCAGTCTAGTTGTAAAAGTGTACTCTACGTCCTCATTGTCCATTATATAGTTTTGTACTGCATGTGACTTTATGAACGTTAATTCCATTTTTGGAAAATGTCAGAACTTAAAAATCTGTCCTAGTCGCTCGGCCTAAGTACTTTCAGTCAGTACCAAAGAAGTGCACATTGTTGTAGTATTATTGCACAAAACACAGGAAAAGCCGGAGTGATAACGACCCGCAGAGGATAACACTCAAAAAACAAAAACCGCATCAACTCTGAGCCCTTGAGCCCAATAGATTATCGAGAAAAGTCATAAATTTATGGGTTAAGAAATACTGCGAGAGTTGAGTACCCTGTCCTGGTCCCTAGTGTAAGCGCAATCTGGGCATTAGACGTAAAGTAAGCCGAAGAGGGATGCTGAAATCGTTAGTGGAGAAAGAAACCAAAGCTAAAACCTAAACGGCAGTCTGATGAATGACAAATTAGACACGAGATTAAAGGAGGCTCGGAATCCCCGCAAAAGCCTGGCTGACAGTAAACGCAGGGCCACAATACGCCAAAGCAAATGATAAACCTCACCGTAACCTCAAAAGTAAACTTAATTCTTATTGTAATTATAATCGTTAAGCGAACACCAAACTTTCCATTACACCCCACCTCAAATGTGTCACGGACCCAAGGCCTAACCCTAACCCCGATCCAAATCCTAACCCAAGCCTTAACCCTAACCATAAATTTAACTGTAACTCAAACCCCTCAACTTAACCTTAACCGTTAACGTACCTTTACCGTGCTGACGAACAGATCGTGGTGGCGGACTCAGCGGCCGGGAACTCGAGACGCCGGAACAGCCACTTAGCCAGTCCGTACGTTGGAGTCCCTTTGAGCGACACGATGGGTGGAAGAGGAGCGCAGCCTTTGTGCACCTTAGGGAGCATACACAATCTTTGTTTGCCTCTTCGTCAGCAAAATTCCTTGAGAAACTCAAAGGGGTAAGCCTGCATCCAAATGAGAGCATGATGTCTTCTGATGTTACATCCCATTTTACTTCTACTCCCCAGAACCTGGCGATCGAGGCAATCGAGCTGCTTACACAAAGCCTGTACGATGAAACGGAGAATCATCTTGGACACGCACAAGTCCTTCAGTTCCCGAAGTTCTGTTTTAGGGCATACTTCACGCTCGACGGGACAATCTAAGAACAGGTGAAGAGCATGCTGATGGGTTCGCCGATTTCGGAATTCATCGCTGAGGCGGTCTTGCATCGGCTAGAGTCGCTGGTCATCCAACACCACAGGGCGAAGTTCTGTGCCCGGTATGTGGAGGATATCTTCGTCGTCATCGAATGGGATCAGGTGCTGACCTTCAAAAAACATCTCAACGCCGTCTTCCCAGACATTCAATTTAAGAGGGAGGAGAAAGTGAACAACCAGCTGGCCTTCCTGGATGTCCTCGTATGCCACAAAGGTTGTGGTGGACTAAAGACCAAAATGTTCAGGAAAGCGACAAATACGATTCAAGTACTGAACTTCAACAGTAACAACCCAATCAGCCACAAACGCAGTTGTGTAAGGACGCTCTATCGGCGTGTCGAATCGCACTGCAGTGAGCCGGAAGACGAAATTGCCGAAATACAATACCTCCGACGGGTATTCAAGGCCAATGGCTATCCGCAGAACTCTGCCAACCGGCGCATACGCAAAAGGGACGAAAGGCCTAACCGCATGGACACCAAATCTTGGCGGCAGTTTCCGTATGTCAAGAACGTTTCGGAAGCTGTCGCCAGCCTTCTCGCACCACTTGGGGTTGGAGTTGCACACAGACCCGAGGCAACCATCAGGCGCCAGTTAATGAAACCGGAAGACCCGCTGCCACGGTTAGAAACGTCTGCAGTCGTTTATTGGATCTGGTACAGTTGCGGACAAAACATCTACGTCGACAAAACCGGAAGACAGCTCCGAACGCGAATGGTCGAACACGCTGCAGCGATACGGAGAAATGACGCCGGGTTCCCAAGTGCCCCTAACATTCAGCTTTAAATTGTCGCCAAAAAGGAAGGTCATAAGTTTACCAGATCCAATCCCTCTAGGGAATATGACTGCTTGCTTCGAGGTTCTATTGGGCTTCTAATCGCATATGGGGAGAAAATGTTTTTTGAAATCGTCTCGCCGATCATTTGCATTTCCTTCGATCTGCAAAATGATTAATTAAAGAACTCATTTGTTGCCATGACCTTGATGTTCTTATGGCCGCTCTAATTGAACCCCCAAAACTATATCAAAATTTGACCTTTAAATGGCATGGAAAATTTTAAATAATTGAGAGTTGCCTCTATGGCGTCGTTTTTCTGTGAGTATTTGACAAGGTTTCACTGTAAAATTGAAGGCCTACATCCCAACTGCCATGTGTAACACTAACATGTAACTGCGTTGTTTAACGGTCAATCCGAATCATGCCACGGTGGGACCATCACAATTGTTCGAAGGCTTAAAGCAACAGTCAGAAACAAATTTGACAGGATGACTTGATTTTCACATGCTCCTATGCGGCAAAACACTAACAGTTTATTGCACACGCTTGTATGCCGAAAAGAAACGTTACACACATATAATCAAAATGCTGTCGGCAGTCTTACTAAATGAGCAAAATCATTACTTTGCAATGAAAACTGTTGAGAGGGCCATAATACTAAACTAGATTGTTACCGCATACCTTTTTACGTCCATTATTAAGTCAAGGAGACAAATTAGTTCAAATCAGACTCCTGAACCAACATATGTTAGTCCTTTGCCTGCACAAGGAATATGAAAGAGAGAAAGGAATTCGCTTTATTTTGAAATCGTAAGTTCAAAATTTTCAGCACAAAATTGGCTTCATTCACTGTGGGCAGGAAAAAAGTTAGGAGACTAATCAAGTGTCAAAGAAACGATTATTATGGGGATAGTTCAAGTTTTAGCTTCTGTATATGTGTGGACCTGTTCAAATGTCATTGACGAAGCTCAAAATGCAGACAGCGCACAAACTAACAACTGAGTTCCGCACTCAGCTTATACACCCCAACAACAGGCATTGCAAGTTGGACAGGAAAGATGATGTCTATAGAGATTCATGTGACGCTAGCAGTGCATTATATAGAGGCCTTGGTGAAAACTAGTTAAAAATAAATGCGTGAGATCCTCTTCAAAGGTAATGACGCACATCCTGCAAAAGAAGTCGCACGGTTGACTTTTGCTCATCCAATCAATGTCGAGGATTCCCAGGAGACATAAAATCGGGCACATCTTGCGCTAGTAGCCATATTTAACCGGATGTGCGATATAAATTTCTCGAGATTAAATGGAAGGAAAGCGTTCAGCAGTGACTGCTTAGTTGGGCAAACGCCAGACATTTGTTGATTCACGAATGGCCACAAACCCACGTGTAACTCTTGTTTGTATGCATGATGAAGAAATGTGGTCGGACATCGCAGCAATTTTTATCATTTCAAACTTTCAAATTCGTACGGACGTTCATCTTCAGGAAGGCATCTAACACAATACAAAGTCTAACACTCACAGTCAGTATCCAGCAAATCACAAATGAAACTGTGCGAGAATGCTCTTTAAGTTTGCCCGGATTCGGTGAAACAATTGACCAGTTTGCTCGGAATGGTTATGCGAAGGCGTTTATAGGCCAATGCCTACGGTTTTTGGGCACGTAGGGCCCAAATAATAACATTGTTGTGAATATAGCAAGCTTTGTTGTGCATTCAAAAACGACCGAGCGCATGGCTGCAGGACTAGGAGTCGGGATTACACACCGACCCACGGTTATCATGCGTGCCGGGGTCAGGAAAATCACGGGCGCATTAATTTTCAGGGAGCGGTTAGCCAATATGTATCTTATCACCTGCATAAACTGCCCTTGCAATTACATAGGTTAGAGTAGACGCATGTTCGTATCACGCATGCACAAATATAGGCTAGCTGTGCAACCGGATGACTGGATTATCACATGTGGCCGCTAACACCTACCAAACCGACCACGAATTTAACTTAAATGTGATTAAGATAATCCCCCCCGATAGAGCCCTGGGTCCCGGATGATAAGTCAGTCAATCGATATATCAATGCGGCGCTAGCGTCAGAGTTTGCGCATTCATATCCCGACTGGCGTCCCAAATCTTTGACTGGCTGATACCCCCCAATAGCCATGGCAAAACAAATGTTGTTATCATTGTAAAGGACTTATCTGACTTATACCTGCGTGTGCTCATGACGATAATCTGACCGTCGTGGTCCACGATGTCCACCGTGTTTATCACGGAGGTGCGAGAGCAAGCACGATAATTTGCACGTGATGTAGTTTATATTGATAGCAGACTTGTGTAGCACCTAATGCACGCATTCCTTCTCCTCCTCATTAGAACCCGGTCTCAAGCCACGGTCCAAAAGACCGGGGCGGGGGGATGACGCTGGTGGCTCGTACGGCCGGACCCTCACCTAGGCGTAACACTTCACGTCCTTTTGGTCCACAGCAAGCACCTAACAAGGATTACAACCAATAACAACAAGGCCGGACGCGGGAACCCTAATTCGCGCCATGTGAGTCGGCAAATGGACCTGCGCCGCACCCCCAAATGCTGGCATTTGTTATGGTGCATATCACGATAATGTCTGCCAGAATCCAGTGTGGCCCCTATCTTGGTCCAGCGCATCTATTTCGTGCACACAGTAACAATCACGTTATTATTTATTGCGTTTGATCAGATATAATCTTTGTAGGCACGTACACTATCTTCACAATAACCGGTCTTATCTATTGGGTTGTACGCCGACGTCATGTGAATAAACTGCGAAATCCTGGTGTATTAAAGTGAAAGCCGTTTATCAAATCTAGTCGATGATGTCCTTTAACTCATATAAGACAGCATTCGCGTTCTATTTTTTAGTGTTCTCCATCCATTAAAAGTCCTTCTTTCTGTCTACGGGCTGTAATCTGTTGATTAACGTCTTTAGTTCTGCGATCAAATTAGCTGTAATATCCTACACTAATTGTCAACATCTGCGCTACGCCGGCAACTTAAGGGGAGGCGAACTGTCCGTAATCTTCCCTGCAGCCCAGATATATCGATGAGCATCGCTCCCGCGCAACTTTTACTAATCCCGTTTGTGGCTGGCAAGCCGACTTGTTCCTTCCATACCGCTGGAGCTTTTGACTCGATGTTGAAGTGGGATGTCTTATAATTACACAGCCGGCGTATGTCTGGTGCAGGATGAACGATAGCAACAATGTTTTGCCTGATGTTTCCTATTCTTTTTGAATAGCCATTTGGAGACAATAATACACAGAGGAACAGACACGTAGAAGGTGGCAGTATACAAAGAATGCCATTGTTACTCATCTACACATTTGATAAAATCGCAGAGCCAGCAGTCATTGAAGGCGATTGACTGTGTTGGGGCGGTAGCATGCTCCCTCGTATTGGAGTCGCCATTTTTCATAATTTTATCGCCAGTATTCTTGACTGACATTTCAAATACTCAGGAACTTGATTCTGTCATATGGACAATGATAACAATGTTTGCTGAGCTTAGACAAACACTTAGATCTAAATTGGGGACTGAGAGAGACCGGTGAACAGGTCAGGGCGATAATAGTTTCTGACTTTCGCGGGTGCCACCATTCGTTAGGCTTTCGTCCTTCGTAAACTCGAGAATAAGACCAGGTTCATTTAAAAAAGTTACGAGTGAGATGTTAGTCATAAGCTGTCAGAGTGCTGATGATGCCCTCTTGTCCTTATACGTTTACAGTAATCTTCCCGCTTCTTGGCAGCAGGTAGATGTTCCGTAAATACCCCAGAGCTGCTAGAAAACTACAAAAGTTTTTTTGGAGAAGGTCTTCTTTTTACATCATGAAGTGGCTGATAGCTGCCTCAGATCTGACTGAGGCATGCAACTATCTCATCTGGACTGATCTTTAATGATTTAATGTAAGCAGTATACTGGGTAGCCTACTAGTTTCCCAAATATGCTGGACGTTGCGGGAATCTGTGAATATTTTTCCTCAGACTCAGTACTTTCCAAACTTCCAGGAGAGGGGCAAATTTATTAAGAGATTTTTGCGTCATGGTAGATTGTGCTGGTTAATGCAGAAAGTCGGTTCATAATTCGAAAATCAAAAAATGCAGCTATATGTCTTCTGTTTGGTTTCAGTAGTTTGAAAATGCCTATAGTTTCGTGGATAGTCTCTCATATTTTCTAAAAGGATATAACGCACTCTGGTAAACTCTATTTTTAAAAGTGAAGGATCGCCTAGACGTGGGAGAACAATCGGGTGTCGTCTATCAGATCCCATGTCGGGACTGCCCTCGCCACTACACAGGACAAACCGGACGAAGACTTAGCTCACGAATAACGGAGCACAAACGGGCGATCCGGAGAGGCGACCCGTTGTCTCAGGTCGCCACTCACACCCTGGAGGAAGGCCACGAATTCAATTTTGCGAGCATGCGGATAGTGGCGCGGGCCAACAATAAGACAGAACGAGAACTGTTAGAGGCCTGGGTGTCTGACACCAACTCTATCAACAGGCACGTTGACATACCCCTCTGCTACACGCGCTCCGTTCACGCGGCCAAGGAGCGAGGCCCAATTTCCAGTCAAGGGTGCACGCAGTCACGCCACCGTGAGACGGCGTGGGACTCAACTTATCGTCGCGAATACCACCCTCTGCACTCATATCACTCCCCCCTTCATGGCGTGACTACAAAAACCGCTCCTTTGATGTTGCCTTCTCACAGTCTCTGACGATGGCCTCCTGTACGAGACCGAAAGCTCAGACTAATAAACCTACTGTCCCAGAGATCGGGTCTTCATCTTCTTTATTGTTAAAAGTGCCTCAGTTTAAAACATCTCCACACCACTATAATTTTTTTTCGATTCGATATACGCAATACAATACAAAATATTGTAAGTTTAGGCACTATACTCGATACCGTGATCAAACGTATCTTCATTGTTGCGGACTGAACATATCGTGTGAGGTTGGATAAGACGTG